GAGCCGAGGTCCGCGGCGTTAAACTCGCTGAGGGTGGGGGAGCAGACATCGGGTGCCCGCTCAATCCACCACCACCGGCAAGCACTAACCCTCCCCCTAACCCTCCCCCTCCTCGCTCTCCGTAGAGACCGCCCGGCGTGAAACGTGACGAAGTAGTCGATGAGGGTTCGATCTCCAGGGTGGACGAATGCAGGTGGTGATCCAATCCCCCACCCCCTACTGCCGTCAAAAGACGGTCAGCTACTCCTTCCCCCGCCCGAGTACCGCCATCCCTGATGCCGCCGCCGCCGCCATCGCTGCCGGCGCTGGGACTCGCGGCGGCAGCGGAGTCCGTTCTGGCGCTCGCCGCTGTGTCCACCGCGCTGCCGCCGCTGCCGACGGCTGTCAGCCTCGAACCACCACCTCCTCCCGCTTCTGCGCCACCCGACGCCGCCATGCGCAGCTGAAGCGGCATCGCAGCCGCTCCCTCTACCCTACCCGCACCCTCGGCCAGTGTTGTCGCCTGCTGCCCGCTGGTCTCTCGATGATAAGGAAAAAAGTCCGAATGATAGCGCGAATGCGCGACTGTCGCGGAGCCCGGCGGGACAAGTGCAGAAGGGGAGACCACCACCCCGACCGCTCCGCCCTTGAGAACCGCCGTCGTCTCTTCCCCGAGGATCCGCAGACCTGCGGAAGACGTTCCCAACCCGCCGTCCGCTACGACTCCGCCTCCCCGCACCCCCGCCGCCATCACCGGGGGGGGCGTTGTCGACAGCCGAGGAGCACCCCCCGGCCAGCTTACCGCTGAAGGCGGCGACGCTGCTGAACCTCCTCCTCCTCCCGCTTCCACGCCAATCGTTACAGACACGCCGTTCGCCAGGACCGCCAACTCCTCTCCTCCCCCGGCGCCTCGTCCCTCCCGCCCACGGCCACCCTCCCGAACGAGGAAAGACGTCGATAGTGGGCGCACTCCAGGGCTGTCGGCAAGCGCCATGCACCGATCTCCAGCAGCGGGAAATCGCCGGCGGGCGAAACGGGAAGAACTGACACGGCGCGCAGCGGGAAGAAGAGGCGGCGCGTGTATGCACAACAAAACCCGTCGTCCTATTGCCAAGGCGGGGACGGCAGAAATTGACAAGGGGAATGCCACTCGACAGCCAAGATCAGGCGGCGGAGAATGTTCTTGTCACTGGAAATATACGCAATTGCACACCATGAAAATGCCGCTTCGCTGCTGCCTTCACGTTGAAGACATGAGAACCGCCGGAGCTGAAGACAGAGAAACGCCAGAGCTGATGAATGAGAAGGGTCTATTGTATATACAGATTATACACCCTTGGCACAACAGATTTACATGGAAACATGATGACAATTCCACGTACATCAACCACCGAACACGTCTTCGTTCTTGTCTACAAACCCTTACCGCATCCTTGCTTCGGTCCTGAGGGACAGTTGCGCAAAAGTGCACGTGTGCATAACGTGCGACGCCGGATGAACTCGCTGTAGAATGACGACGTTATGTACTTGAAGGTTGGAAACCGATTACTCTCTCTCCTCCGCCCTCCGCCCTCCGCGCATATAACACAGTTTGCACAATAAACAGCCCAACGAGGCAAGTCAAACGACCAAACACATCATCGTCAGCTCATCAACAGGACGATCTTTTTGTGGCTCCAGAAGCCTTTGTCGCTGTTAATTAACCACAGAAGAAACAGCTAAATCCACCAGTAAATCAATCAATAAAATCCTCTCGAGTACATCAATCTATAAATCATCACACTGATAAGTAAATTTAGCAAAACAACCACAAATGTCTTTTATTTAGTGATATATATATATATATATAAATAAAATTATTTTTTTCACGATATCATTCACGGAATCATTGAGAGGAGGTGAAGTTATCATCCTACCGGCGGCCGCCCAGCAGGAAAAAAGCCTCAAGGCTCAAGCCCAATTTTAAAAATGACCCTAACGATCAGAAATAGACGGTGAACCCAACCAATCACAACATTCCCGCTCCATTATTGAAGAAGATAAGCGCGACAAAGCAGACGCGAATCCGATGCCTTTTGCCCGCCTAACCGTGTTCACGGCTCACTCTTTTCGTTTCGTTCGTTCGTTCGTTCGTCGTGCAATGATTTGTTTGCAGAGAAGCTTGCACTCATTTTTTTGCAGAGATGCATCTGGGCCATATTACTAGTTAACGTCCATTCATCTGTTTTGCATAGATGCACCTGGGCCATATTAGTATTAGTAACATCTATTCATTTGTTTGCGTAGATGCATCTGGGCCATCTTATAGTAATTAGTACCCAAACACATCCTGGCATTCAACACGCTCTGGAGTAACGGACGAGGCGTGCGGTAGGGAATGGAGAACAACAGGGCAAAGGGGCGAGATGAGGAGTAAAGAAGCAAGGAGGGACTCGCCCACAGTAACCAACCGCACCTCTCTCTCTCTCTCTCTCTCTCTCTCTCTCTCTCTCTCTCTCTCTCTCTCTCTCTCTCTCTCTCT